TGCTTGGATTTATGCGTTGAGGTTATCAAATGTAATTGCGTGTTCTAAGAGATTTTATCTATTATTCATTTAATGATTCAAGATAATAAAAAAACAACGAGACTCCAATTGTGCATCAACAATAAAATATATATTGAAACAATAACATACAAAACAATCATGCAATGGTGTGTCGTAATTAAGGGAGAAAAAGTTGCTTCCCTTCAACTGTATTCTGATTAATATTGAATGTTCAAAAGATTTTCTCTTGAATAAGAATGTTCAGGATTCTATGTTGAATAGAGTCTGGTGTTAGAATAGAATACAGTTAATTAAGAAGTGTGTTGTTTTGAGAAGGTAAGAGAGTTCTGGTTCATAGAGAGGAAGAATATGTGTAATGTGATACAAAAATCTGTGTGTGCGTTGTGAGTAAAGTCGTGGATTTCTGTAGACAAGCGTAATAGCTGGACTCTACTGACGACTTGCGAGAAAGTCGGTAAGAGTTGTTGGCAATGAAAAATGATCTTTAACGTCTGACCTCGTGGTTAAGACGGGAGCGCTTGAATATTACATCTTGGCAGCAAGGAAAAAGATGAATGTGTTTTGTTTGTATAAGGCAGTGTATCACGTGGCAGGCTCCGAAGCTTGTTCGTGGGAAAATTATTCCTTGCGTACCGGCAATTTGATTGATAGTTAGTTTTGAGGAGATCAGCCAATGAATACTTGCCGTATGATCTGTATGTATGTGTGTGTGATGTGTGATGGTGATGATGATCGTTACACTATTCTTAAACAAACTATCACAAACGCTGAGCAATGGATGGTTTACAACAACATGAAGCTAAAATCTCCGAGGGCAAACAAAACGACTTCAAAAGTCAAAGCTGTATCTATTTGGTCGGATTTGAACGGTATTAGTTATTGGTTTCATCTTCTACACATTGTAGGATTGATATCAGCCGGATGTCTTAAGGTACCTCTGACACAGATGTGAAACGGACAGGATTTAAGACCGTGGATTGGGTGGACGAAACTTAGAATATATATAAAGGAATCGGCTTTAACAAAAATCCGTAAGTGGAATGCGTTCTTGAAAATGAAATGCAACCAAGGGGAGGTGAAATCTCTGAAAAAAACATTATTCTTTTTAACCAAATGAAGATAATGGATAAAATTAGACAACCGCCAAAATTAGAATCCAAAGACTCGGCTTTCGTTATCACAAGGATTAGGATTTAAGGAGTAATTTTTTTTGTTTTTTTTTGTGCGTTTGCTAATCTTGGTATTTGATTAATTAATTTAATTAAATTTGTTTAGGTTTGTTATTCCAAACTATTTTTCAAATTTATTTTTTGAGTTTTCAATTAAATAGAAGTTTCAGATTTTTCAGCGATTATATAGGGTGTATTTGTGTATCTGTGTGTGTATATGCATTTGTGTGTGTGTATGTGTGTATGTGCATTTGTAAATGTTCATTTGTGTATTGCATGTGTGTATGTTTATTTGTGTAAGTGCATGTGTGTATGTGCAATTGTGTATGTGCATGTGTGTATGTACATGTGTGTATGTGCATGTGTGTATGTGCATTTGCGTGCGTGTGTGTGTGTGTGTGTGCATTTGTGTGTATGTGTGTATGTGTGTCTGTGCGTGTTTCTTTATATGGAGAGAGTCCCTGTTAAAGTTCATTTGGAAATTTAATGATTGAATTCGTCAGTTTCGTCTCATGTCAAAATATTAAATTTTCTCTCATGTCAATTTATTTTTAGCAAAAAAAAAATCATCGCATTTTAACATTTTATTGTCTACCAACTGAAGTGCCCGTTGCTCTCGAACTTCTAGCAAGTTGCAGAAAACAAAATTCCTTCCAAAAGCTAAGCAATGTATCAAGAAACAGGGTTGATTGATTGACTGATACGTTTTCTACGTCTAATCAACCAACTACATGTTATTTAAAGCCAGAAATTGTTTTTTAGATTGTTTTTGGAGATAATAATGATTTACTAACACAAATCCTACTAATTAACCCATACCGGGAGAGGGAAGTGGTGGATTCATATCTTTCCCAAGGGTATTTGAACGTATGTGAATATAACCAACCCGACCGGAATTGGAACACGGCTTGCCGATTAAAAATTCCGAGGCGTTATGATTTACACCACCCACACATCTAAGCTTACAGCAACTGGTATTTCCAAGTAGTCACGCACCTAACATCTATGATCGTATTAGAACCCGTGTTTCAAAGTGATATAGCCTTAAGCCCATTCCAAAGAGGGGTTACTGGCAAAATATGGTAAAATATAGCAGCAGATGTTTTTCCAATTCATTTTCACTCTGTACAGAACCCAAAAACCATTCGTGCGGAGCATCACTTTGCGACTTCTCGGTCTCACATTGTCCGCTGACCTGTGAAAATATTGAGTCAATAGATTCGTCCACCGCTAGGAAAGTTGGCTCCCTATGCCGCGCCAGGAAATTTTTCTCAACGGAGTCGATCCTTCAAATCTACAAATCAACCATA